TCCCATGATCCTCCAAGTAGGGGCCCGGTTGGTGGATTTCCAACATGTGGTTCAGGGTTGACCTGAGAAGCCTTGCGGTGGCTGTGGGCGTTGCCAATACTGCCTGAGAGGGGACAGGTCCATGAATGGACATGGTGTCGCATTTGTACATGTATGTTGAGGTACAGCCAGTAACTAATCTTGGTAATGATGCTGCCGCTGCGAACTACTAGCAAACTCTAGCAGTGTTTCGAAGTTGCTGTTCGAAAAATTCTCTCTCTAGCAGCTGTTTGCAGCTGTCCTTCCGCATCACCATGCGCGCAGCAGCAGATTTGAATGGCTACTGCTTGGCATCATCGGCAGAAGCCCTCTGACTTCTTACGTCTTCTTGTTCTCAGGCCTGTGAGACTGCTGGCCTTCATGCTGTTGTTGCTCTTGTTGCATCCTTTCCAGAGTTTAAGCTCCAGGCGAAAACCCACAAGTCCCAAAGCCGAATCCCCTTGTCACACCCCTAAACCCGGTTTAATCTCGCTGTTTGCCTTCCGCGGTTTCGTGAGGCAGCCGGTAGCATCAAAACCCCAAAAGGTCGGCGTGCCACACAGTGAAGGGTTTAGGGTTTAGGGTTTAGGGTTTAGGGGTTTTGTGTATGCCAACATACGAGACGATGCTTTGGGAGGTATCTACAGTACTCAAGTATATGATAGCATCAGCAGCTAAACGGGAATGCCAAGTTGTTACGGTCCTTACTTCAGCGGGTTGATAAGACTGTCAGCGTCTCCTACCGGTGAAAACCTCTGGTGAGTAGTCCTTGCCTGATATCAAGAAGGCTCGGGATGAAACACGGAGCTCAAAAACCTGCAGGAAACCTGACAAAGAAATCCTGGATCATCATCATCATTATCCAGAAAGTCGCAGTCAACACAAGGCTACCGAAACAGCATGCACGGTAGATGCTCTGTTAACTAGAAGGATTGGCGAGCCTGGTATTGCTGGAAGGCCTTCGTCACCTGCCAGGAAGGGAACCCTGCTGAACCGTCAAAGCTTTGACTGAGACAAAGCTACGTAATTAAGGTTTAGGGATGCGGGCAAGCATGCTGAGGGACCCAGGTTTAAACCCTACACCACTGCTGCCATGGCCTCCCCGGCCGTAATGCTGGTGTAAGCTAAAGTTGACCAAAACATGGCTCATGATCGGGCGTCTTGTGGCCCAAATCTCTGATGTCGTAGTGTGGATTACACAGGAACCGAAGGACTGCAGGAAAGTTCGGCAACTTAAATTGTGTCCCTCCAACCATGTGACGATGCAAGACGTCACACCTTGAACCCGGAATTCTCCGCGGTGGCCCAAACCACTAAAACTAAATCACGCGAGTGTCGAGGTCGTACAAACATATGTACTGATTTTGGGCGCAAGAAGGAATGATGTTGAAACCTGCCTTTTCAAGCCGAACGGCTCCGGTGCAGCGAATGCTCGCGACACGATCTGGATTCTGGGGGTGTTGCCTTGAAATAGGGCCTCAACAGGGGTCAAAAAGTGAAAAGGATTCAAGGGTGCTACAAGTATTAACGAAGCAGTCGTAGCACAGACATGCACTCGCCATACGAGGTTACGAGAGCCCATGAGAACGCCATCAGAAGCAGATGCTGGTCCGAAGTGTTCAGCAAAGCTTCCTTGAAGTAGACATGATCTAACCATGTCTAGCCTCACAAGAGGCTCGACGTGAGATTCCCCACTGTCGAAGCAGCATCCAGCAACATGAAATTGAAAGGCAGAGCTGTCAAAGCGCTAAAGGAACCCATGCACCCTGACCATCAGAAAGACGCATACTGCAAGCCCAGACTTCCAGCGAACAACCTAGGCCACGGCAACCAGATACATCAAACACCCCAGGTAGACAGGAGCCTGAGAAGGATGCTTCGGCCAGGACACGCCATATAGTTCGGTACCACCCTAAGCGGACTACCACCATGGTCAAAGGCGAAGAAAATGGCCTAACGCCCGAAGGTTTACACGGCTTCACTGCCCCAGCATAAAATACGAACAAAAGGAAGCCTCAAACCTTACCCTACAAACCTAAGCCGCAAAACCCTGCAACCCTAAACCTTAAATCCTAAACCCAAATCCCTATATAACCCTAAACCCTAAACCCAAATCCCAAACCCTAAACCCTAAACCCTAAACCCAAATCCTAAACCCTCAAACCCTGACCGCCCTTTTTTGGACTCAAGCGCTGGCGCTCGCGGCCATCGGGCTGGACTCCTCGGAGAGGGCACGGAGATTTTAAACCCACGGTTTTGGGATTTAGGGTTTAGGGTTTTGGGATTTAGGGCTTAAGGGGTGTAGTGTCTAGAGACTTTTTGGGGGTTTAGGGGTTAATCTTGGAGCGCTAGCTGCAAACTCTACAGATGTTGTGACTGAGGTGGCTTGTAGATGCTGGGACCCGCCATTGACCTGTAGTACGCAGGTCGATCATAGTCATTGCTGCCGAAATTAATGCCACGCTACATTGCTTAATCCTACCCTTGCGGCATGAAGTACATGATCCTCTTAAGCTGCAATAAGTCATGATGTATGGTACTGAGTCGGTCAAAATAATCGCAAGCCGGTAGAAGCCCGATAGTTCGCACATCCTTCGCACTATAGCACACACCTACTATACTTTTCCGTCTCAGATGCTCTCTGGCCGCAGCAGAATTGTACCGTTGGCGCTTCGGGCACGTAGTGCAGCCCACAGAGCCGTGCATCTCGCAAATTATTGCTGCATCTCGCTGCCTTAGGCGGCAAAGAATGCGCGGTTCGCGCTCTCCGCACTTGATTGTCATTAAGTGATCAAGACTGCATCAAATTTAAACAGCTTTCCGAGTCTTCCCATCAGCAATGCTGTCTGGCACGGTGTTAGACAGGAGCTTTATGCATTTCCTAAACCATTGCATGGAGCCCAGGCATCAAGCTCTTGATGAGGCTACTCGGAGGAGCATCCTGATATCTCCATGCCTCTGCTGCAGCCTCTGGCGCGCATACAAAAGGAAACCTGTACAAGTACAAACCCCGGTGCTGAACAAAAGCTGGGCCTGTCAGCGAAGTCGAGAAGAAAAACGACGGTAGCCCCATCATGATCGTCATCGTCACAAAACTAAGTAACTACTGAACAAAAGTAGTAGGTAATTCTGCAAAACCCTGATAGTCACTGGAGGTACAAAGTCTGATTAGATCAATGACTACCGGGGAGTTGCTTCTACATGTTTTGGCCTCCGCGCTTTTTTCGATCTTGCTTTCAGTGTTTCCAGCTTTGCATCGGCGCAGCTATTCATTCAAGGTTGTTGGCTAGGGTTTAGGGTTTAGGGTGGCCCACGAGAGCAATACGTTAAAGGTGATTTGAACAACAGCAACACAGCAACCAAACAACGCACGATACACTGTTCACCTCTCACACATTTCCGGCTGCAGGCCCCCTTTTGCGGCGTGGGGTGGGGATCTTGCAACGACAAAAGACAAGCACATGGTGGCTTAATTGTAGTCGGAAAAAATCGTATGGCTTTGAACTAGCAGGATGGCGTCTGAAGTCCCCGAGCCAAGCTGGACATCAGGAGTGTGTAAGGTTGAGGTATTCGAGTTTCGAGTGCGATGGTCTCGGAGACAGAACAGCTGATGGCAGCTAGAAAGCTTCAACTGAAGCATGTGTCACCACGGCATAGTTACAGGAAGAAACACCTGAAGAGCAAACACCCCCATGCAATGCTCCACTTCACCAACAGTGAATTCGTCGATGTCGTAGCGGAGCTGCTCGGAGCTGAAGTGCTGGAGGTCGTCGATGTTACTGTGCTGAAGCGCGTTGTGGAAGAGAATGTTGTTGACGAGGAAGTGGACGAAGCTCCGACACCAACAGGCCTTCGGCAGTGAGTCAACATACACACGACAATCGCTTCCTTGATTCCACATGCGCCTCCGTGTGGTTCGAGGTGTAGCACCAGACTTTGGCTCTATCTTGAGGGTGAGCATACTTGCAGCGATACGTCGTGCATTTTACAGAGACAATCATACATGTAAGCATGCATGTATGCCTAAATGTATGTGTTATGTAAGCATACATGCGCCTATGTAATGTGCAGGCATGCATCCACGACTCTGAGTGCATGCATGGTGCTATGCACATAGATGAGTGCATGCATTGTGCTATGCACATAGATGAAAACGAACTGAATATGTGGGAATAAGATCTTATTTACAAACCTTTGTATGCACAGCCAAGTCTCTATATTCCATGAATCCATCCATCTACCCGCATGTATGTGTGTATACATTCATGCGTACACCTGCTCAATGCCGCGGACGTAGAAAAGTCAAAGACTGTAGCGCGATTCATGAAAACATCCGCACATACATTGCTGGCAAAGCCAGCGATTCAATGCCAATGCATATCCACAGCCGACGCTGTCAGTTCTGTCTTGCAAGCACCAGGTGGCAACATAGCCAGACGGAGTATGCACGTATTACATGACCTACCGACTCATACAGTCACATATACACATATGCTTGCTTCAAGCATCCATGGATGGGGGAGGGATGAATGTAAGACTGAGGCAATCGATGGACAGGTCGGATGAGGGTTGGGCCCCTGGTGTCTACCCTCCCACTACAGAACCTGAAGAGATGAACCAAAAAACAAGTCGATGTGAGTGAGATATGTGTGTGTGTATATATATATATATTATATATATATATATGTATATGGACATGGATTTAAGCTTTACGAATCGTTGGAACATGAGCTCTGACCCAAGCCAACCCAGCCCAACAGTTTCGCCAAACCCTTCATCCTGAGTCAATCCTGAACCTCCAGCAAGTTGGGAAGTCAAGGTGCCTGCTTGCAGGTCTGAAGAAAGACGGCAGTGCAAAAACCCACAACTTTGTTCCGGTGGATGTTGAGGTACTGCTGAAAGTAGATGTTATGGTACTGGAACTGGACGAAGAGGATGAAATGCTGGTGGAAGTTTGGGATCTGGAAGTGGTTGTGGTGGTGGTCAGGGAACCAGTAGCAGAAGAAGTCAGGGTCGTTCGTGAAATGGAGGTGGTCGTGGTGACGGTGGTCGTTCTGGACGAACTGAGAGACGATGAACTGCTGGAACTCAGAGACGACGTGCTACTTGCAGTCGTAGATGAAGTTTGACTCGTCGTGGAGGAAAGACTGGTGGTCTCAGTGCTGGTCGATGTATCGGTTGCTGAGGTAGAGGAGGAGAGTGTGATAGAGCTGGATGTAGAGATTGTGGCTGTGGTGGAGGATGTCGTGAAGGAGATGGATGAAGAGATGGTGGTTGTACTGGAAGATGTCGTCAAGGAGCTGGATGAAGAGAGTGTGAGAGAAACTGTATTCGAGGATGTGGTGACCGTGCTCAGCGACGTTGAGGACGTCGACGTCGCAGTCGCAAGACTCAAGGCTGTAGGGCAGTGGAGTGGATCGATGTCGCAATCGCCTGGAGACTCCTGGGCGATCTTCATTCTTGACACCTACTGCCATGCAAAACATTGATCATGCTTATTCTTCCTGTTCGAAGTATCATGTCTTTCATGATCCTAAGCCATTCTCAACGACAGAAGCGCCCTAAACTCTATGAGCCCTGGAGCCTAAACCACACCGGCCTCGCAGCAACAGAAGCGAGCCCAACCTGTACTGGGAACTGGCGTTGAGCAAGTGGATCCACCCACATCAACGTAATAACCTAAGTCGTCCGTTTAGGGTTTAGGGTTTAGGCTTAGGGTTTAAGGTGCTGTAGGGGTAATGCTGTCAGGAGTACTGTGGGGGTTGCTGCAAGGGTTAGTATAAAGACTAGGGTAGGCAATACTACGAAGGTTGCAAAAACGAAGGGAGGGCTTACTCTTTATGAGTGTTGAAAACACTATAGGCCACCGCAAGGCAGCCATCACCGGCCATGTAAAGGTACCTCTATATAAGACCACGAGGGCAATCAAAAATTAGATTCTTTCAGTGCCAACTAGTTGCACTCGCCGTTGCTAACGGCCATCGGGCTGACCAGCTGTACTTGCAGATTTCCTGCCTGGGAGCTGAGGCCGCTCGAACAGTCGTAACTCGACGTGTGGTCTGTGCCAATGGAGTCCACCACCGTTCGAACGGCGGCAATGCTATTCAGAAAGGCTTGAATGTCAGACGAGCTGCAGTCCTGCA